CCCTATAGCACCTGATTCCTTTCTTGGAAAGTTACTTGACAGAAGCCGGTGACCTGAATCTAGAGTGTGCTATGCTTTGGTAGGGGCCTCTTTAAAGAGGAGTTACACGAAGCCCCTATGTCATTTATATGCAGCTACCATGAACCATAAACCCCTAATAAAGTAGTTAAGCAACTTGGTAGTTATTTTCCTTACATAACAAGAACAGGGGTAGGCAGTCACCGGCTTTGGGTCAGCTGCCCAAGGTGCCTCCACGCTCCTGTCTCTCGTCACCACCCTCAGAGCACTGGCATTTGCCCCATGACTAGAATATCGCTGCCACAGCTCCAGACATCACCCCTGTATCCAGGACGGGAAGGAGGGGGAATCTGGTGACCAGCCTCTGTTTCTCCTTTTTCAAGAAAGTAAAAGTTCCCCCCCCCCCAAATTTTCTTTCTTCCCCACAGATTTTTGCTTGTGCATCATTGGCCAGAACTAGGTCACATGGCTTCTACAAGGGAGGCTGGGAAAGGGAGCACTGAACTGGGCACGTTGCCATCCTCAAACAGCTGGGTTTCCGTTATCAGGGGAGAAGCAAGGCATGGATATTGGAAGGCATGGGGCAGAGTCTTCCCGTTTCTTTTTGCAATTTTGTACACTCTGCAGATGATAGCGATGATGCTGTGAGCGTGGTGTTCCCTGAGGTAGGTCTGATGTCTCCATTTTACAGATAAGGAAACCGAGTCACACAAAGATGACAGGACTTGCAAAGAAAGACCCCAACTAAAAAGTGGCAGGGTCAGGATTCCAGCGCAGGCAGTCAGACCTCCAGCCCAGCCTCACTTCAGCTTTTTTGCTGAATCTTTGTGCTCGGTGCAGAGGGGTTCTCCAGAAACTCTCTTACTCGGGTACAGGCTGCCCGCTGGGATATTTTTCAGCCTCTTCTGTGAATTTGTAAATTGCCTTAAGGCAGAGAGATAGTCAAGATGCGGCTTTTCCACAGGGAACCCACCCCATAACCAAGAAACAGAATTTCCAGAGGATGAGGCCCAGAAATCAGGATTTTAAAAAGATTCCCAGGTGATTCTAATGTGCAGCCAAGGTTACGAACCACTGGTTTAAAGTGAAAAGTATCTCTCCCTCCCCACCCCCGGGGCCCCTCTCTAGAGGTAAGTTTCTTGTGAACTCTGCCACAAAGTTAATGCACATACAAGCATCTCTTGATTAAACTAAAGAGCTCATGTTATTTACACTGTTCTGCACCTTGCTCCCCTCCCCCAGCCCACAAGATTGGCATTTCACACACACACACACACACACACACAAATTTACTTTGTTTTCCTTTTTAATGTAAATCGCAACTTTCTGAGAGACGGTGAGGAGAGCTGGACTAGGAGCCTGAACCCTGGAGCCTACTCCCCATCCTTCCTTAGAGGAGCTGCATAACCTTAAGGAAATCCCCTAACCCTTCCCAATTCCGGCCTCGTAAAGAAAGTGATGGGCTTGGCCCTGGCTGGGTGGCTCAGCTGGTTGGAGTATTGTCCTGTACACCCAAAGGCTTTGGGTTCGATTCCTGGTCAGGGAACATACCTAAGTTGTAGGTTTGATCCTTGGTGGGGGCATGTATGGGAGGCAACGGATGTTTCTCTCTCTGTCTCTCAAATCAATGAACATATCCTTGGGTGAGAATAGGGATGGAGGGAGGGAAGGGAATGTTGGGAGAAGAAAACTTTTAGTGGGTGAAGACAGGAAGGTTTAAGCAGATGGGTCCCTCTAATTAAGAGCTGTGTGATAGGCTCTCCAAAGACATCTGCATTTTAATCCCTGGACCCTGTGAATATGTGACCTTACATGGCAAAAGGGACTTTGCAGACATGAGTAAGTTAAGGATCTTGAGATGAGATTATGTTAGATTATACAGGGTCCTTAAAAGAGGGGGATCAGAGTCAAAGAAGGAGATGTGATGACAGAAACAAGGTTGGAGTGATGTGAGCCACAAGCCAACAAATGCAGATGGAAAAGGCAAGGGGTGGATTCTCTCCTACAGCCTCAGAAGCAAGGCAGCCCTGCTGGCCCATTTCAGACTTCTGACCTCCAGAAATTTAACAGAATAAAGTTATATAGCGTTAAGCCATTATATAGAAATGAGTACAACAGCAATGGGAAACTATTACAAGCTGTAACCTCATGACTCTAAAATGCCTTAGACTCAAGCAAGGAAGCACTAACCAATGGTAGAAGGCAAGCAGAAGGGACAAGGAGATACAGCCAGGGCAGGAAGCGCTGGAGGAATAACGGGAAAGGCAGGGATAGAGGCATGGGGCCTCAGGCTATGGAGTTTGATATAGGCTGGCTTCCCCTTGACCACCCACGTAAGCCACTTCCTGTATGTAATGTTGGCTGAGGGTCTGACTTGGGGATGAGGGCCCAACAGAATGATGCTGTCTGAAGGTCAAAGGGATGAGAGGTGAAGAAGGTTTGAGAGTTTCCTCAAAAAATTAAATATGGAACTGCCTTTTGACCTTGTGATCCCACTCCCAGGAATATATATCCTAAGAAACCCAAAATACCAACCAGAAAATGTATACACCCCTATGTTCATAGCAGCACAACTTAGGGATGAGGGCCCAACAGAATGATGCTGTCTGAAGGTCAAAGGGATGAGAGGTGAAGAAGGTTTGAGAGTTTCCTCAAAAAATTAAATATGGAACTGCCTTTTGACCTTGTGATCCCACTCCCAGGAATATATATCCTAAGAAACCCAAAATACCAACCAGAAAATGTATACACCCCTATGTTCATAGCAGCACAACTTACAATAGCTAATAGGTCTGGGGCAAGGTGTGGGTACAGGCTAGAAGGGGCAAAGGAGAAAGCACAGCTGCTCTGAACAGGCTCCCACAAATTATTTACAGAACATATTCAACTCACTCCCAGTTATTTTTATTTATTTATTTATTTAAGATATTTTTTATTGATTTCACAGTTTTAGATTTACAGAGATTTGAGATGATCCTATAAAGAGTCACCATATACACTCTACCTAGTTTCATGCATCAGAATCATCAGCTGCCACCTGCACGCCCCCTACTGGGGATCAAGCACATAACCCCGGCATGTGCCCTTGCCCTGAGTCGAAGCTGGGACCTTTCAGTCCACAGGCTGACGCTCTATCCACTGAGCCAAACCGCTAGGGACCAGTTGTTTTTAAAATGTTTTACTATTACATTTGTTTTAACTCTTTAGTTCAACAGATGCGAGGTTTGACAGAAACAGGATAGAGTGGTAGGGGGAATTGTATGTGGGAAGGAAAATGGGGTGAGTAAAAATAATTAGCAGTTGAGATGTGTTCAAATTCTCACTATGTAAGGAGGGCCCTATTTTGGTTGGTGAATCATCTTTTTTTTTTTTTTTTTTAGAAGAAGGAGATTAAGTAGCTGTGGTTGTCCTAATGCTGAATAATGCTGAACTGGGGGAAATAGTAATAATATCGAGTGACGTTTCAAAGTACAATACTAAGTAGAATATGGTCACAGCTCTGAGCTGCTTTAGGCTTGTGTACAAGGCCTATAAGAATTCAGAAAATTCAGTCTGTTTTAACTCCATTCAGCATGTCTTTGTGAAGACTGTGTCTGTAAGAGACCCACGTGTTGTTTGTGGCAGTAAAGAATGCCGTGTTTTAGCGGAAGTGATGGCATCATCATCATCGTACACCATGTAGCACTTTATAGTTCAGCAAGTATTTTTGACCATTCGGGATTTCACAAAGACTTTTTAACCTGTTCACATGTGCTTTTTCATTCCAAAGAAACGGGGCAGCTAAGCAAAACCAAGATTTTTTGGAGAAGTGGCTGATTCCAGGGCTGGGTTAGGCAAAGAACAGGAGCCGGCCCGGAGAGGTGCTCAGAGAATGCTGGGGGCGCACCACAAGGTCACGAGAGCAGCTCGATGCGGTTCCCCCTGAGCAAATCAGGGACTATATTCAACTCACTTCCAGTTGTTTTTACTTATTTATTCAATAAATAATAATAGTAAAGGACTTATAGCCTCCTGAGTACGGTAAGAATCCATGAGCCCACACGAAGATAAATGAATGAATAAACAAGTTGGGGTGGAGGGAAAGCTCCCTCTGCATTAGAAAGCCAGCTTGAAAATGCAGAAGGGATGATGGAATTAGAAAAATCACCTCTGGCCAACTCTCCCCAATCACCAGCTCAGGCAAAAGTCGTTCATGGGTGGATGTTAAAACCAGGCATTCGAGTTTGAGGAGTAAGGAGATGCATGTAGTCTCAACGTGCATCCCCACAGGGTACTTTTTTAAAAAATATATATTTTATTGATTTTTTACAGAGAAGAAGGAAGAGGGATAGAGAGTTAGAAACATCGATGAGAGAGATAGACCAGCTGCCTCCTGCACACCCCTCAGTGGAGATGTGCCCGAAACCAAGGTACATGCCCTTGACCGGAATCGAACCTGGGACCCTTGAGTCCGCAGGCCGATGCTCTATCCACTGAGCCAAACCGGTTCAGCCCCATAGGGTACTTTTTCATTACCAGAGCTAAAATGGTAACTGCAGTGGAGAAACCTGGAAGATGCCACCTCAACCAAGCGCTCACGGCAGGTGTGTCCTGGTGGGTCACACGGGCAGGAGCTCAGCTCAGCTGGCGTGTTCCTGCCAGATGTGCATCACCCGGACCTGGTCCCGGGAAGCAGTGGACAAGCCCAGACTGGGGAACAGAAGGACTGGGCCTGAGAGAAATGTGAAAACTGAATGCAGTCCAGGATCTTGGGGTCTCCATTGCTCTACAGCAAGCATGTCAAACTCAAAGGCTAACACAGGCCAAATAAACAAGGTTTAAGTTTCGGCGGGCTGCAAAAACACACAAGCTTCAATTTTCATAGAAACGAAGGTTTATTTAGAAAAGTATAGTATAAAATAGAATAAGAGCAATGATAAAATTAATGTTTTCTTACACACTGTTATATTGGCTAGTCCACAAAAATATTCGTTGTGGGCTGCATGCAGCCTGCGGTCCACAAGTTTGACTTGCCTGCTCTAAAGCTGTGTGGGACGCTAGAGGGCCTCCCCGTGAGGTCTGTGGGTTAGGCGTGGAATTGTTTCAGTGTTCGTTTTCTGACTTTGGTGATTACACTGTGGTTATGTAAGAGCTCCTTCTCTTTAGGAAAGCACACTGGCGTGTTTAGAGGAAAGGGAGGGCGGGAAGCAGGAAGGAAGGGTTTCCCTAGGAGGCGCGTCAGCCCCTCTCAGCCCGGACTTCTGAAGGAAGCTGGTGGGCACCGCAGCAGCTCCTGGCTGAAGAAGCCCCAGCGGAGAGGTTTAAAGGAAGGAGGCTTGGACTCAGCCTCTACCAGAAAGAGAATGGGGCTCCGTGAGCAGGAGGAGCCACAGGATCCCTCGCCTGGGTTCCCCACCTGCACGACGTGGGGGTGGACGGGACGGCCTCTGGGACCCTTTCTGCTCCGTGGGACCTGGTCTCCCTCTGAGACTCGGCAGTGGCAGCATCTGGATAAACCCCTCGGAGCTCTCCCTGAGCCCCATGAGAGGGGCTGTGGCCCGGCCCCTGGAAGACTGGTTTTTGGAGCTCCTTCCTGGTATAGGCACCTCCCCTAGGTCCTGTGTTCAGGCTTCTAGAACATGGCCTTGATCTGTGCCGACACTGGGAGTTTCCGGTGAACCCAAAGTGGTTTGCTCGGCCGTTCGTTCCTGCAGTATGTGGGTGGGTCGCCTACTGTGTCCCAGGCCCACACGAGGCACAGGGGGTCAGTTAGGAGTCGCAGGGCCTGCCACAGAGCAGCGTGAGCACACACGACGGCACCTGCCCGGGTAGTTTTTGTAAAGTCACTTTTCCTTGTGATGAGAACGTGGTAGATAAAAGAACCAGAAGCCGCAGCTTCCCTCCCCGTGAGTCGTATGAACTTGTATTAGCCAAGTGACCCCTGTGCGCCTCAGTCTCCTCACCTGTGAATGGGGATAGCAATTGCACTCGGCTGCCACCTGCCCCGCCTGCAGAGCTGTGGCCCTTCGACTGCAGAATTCTGTACAGTGCCTTACAGATTCAGGTGGTCTTGTCCTTAGTCCCTCAGCGTGCACGTGCGGCAGTGGCTTGAAAAGCACACAGAGAGAACGACACTGTGTCTCTGCCCTCTTCTAAGCCTAAAGGAGAGAGCAGGCGAGGGCCTGGCAGCGTCAAGGAGAGTCCAGCGGGGCTGAGAGAAAGCCCAGTGTCTTCCCTGAGCCGCGTCTGGCTCAGAGCCTGGCCTTGGCAGCAGGTTGACTGTGGCCTTGTCCTCCCAGTGCACCAGGTGGCGGAGCGGGTGGAGGCGCTGGGGCAGTTTGTCATGAAGACCAGGAGAACCCTCAAAGGCCACGGGAACAAAGTGCTCTGCATGGACTGGTGCAAAGACAAGCGGAGGATCGTGAGCTCCTCGCAGGTACGTGGCGCCTGTTGTGTGCTGGTGAGCGGCTTTCTGATTTCATGGCGGAGGGGGCGAGAGCCGTCCTTCTCAACATCCTTTCTGGGCTTTCCGCCTCTGGCCCTGCAGTCGAAGGGCCAGAGGACGCGAGTGTGGCGTGTGGCGTGGCTGAGAGTTCTTCTAAGAGTTCTTCTACACCGCGGAGCCGCGCTAATTTGGGGAGATTTGGAATTGGTCCTGCTGCAACGTCGCAAACTCTATTTGACTCTCCAGTTAAAACTGTTTCTTCCTGAGCGTACCTCACGGTCTTATTTGTGAGGGAAACCAACTGTAAAACAGTGGGTTTTCCCAGATTGAGGGCCACGTGGTTGAGAGGCCACCATGGCTTGTTGAGCAATTTTATGCCTTAAAGAACACATTTAAGATATATAGTTTGTAAAGACTATTTAAAAACAGTTCTCCAGAAGGCAGGGCACGGGCGGGTGGAATACTTTAAACAATAAAAATAAAAACAGTTCTCTAGGATAAGGGCTCTGAGAACCCACCCCTATCTGGTGATGAGGATGAAAAAAAAAGATATATATATTTTGTGAAGCCTAATTTTTCATTCATTTTGTATAGTTGACATAGTTTATTTTACATCTTATATTAGTAATCTATTGCTGCATGACAGATTACCCCAAAAGTTAGCAACTGCAAACAACAAATGTTTATTCTCCCGCGTGGCTCCTGAGAGTCAGGAACCTGGGCAGCTTGGCTGGGTGGCGGCTCGGGTCTCTCAGGGGCGTGCGGGCTGGACGCTCGTGGGCTGCAGGCGGCGACGAGGCCGAGGCTCACTCTGCGGTGGCTCACTCACATGGCTGGGCTGGAGGTTTAGTTCCGCTCCCTGGGGGCCTCCCACAGGGCTGCTCAGGACTTGGGGGCTTGGGGGCAACCCCAGAGCACGTGATCCAAGAGAGGGAGAGGGAGGCAGAAGCCACGCCTCCACGCCCAGGGCCTCTCTGACCTGGCCTCACACAGACCAACCTGATATAATGAGGGAGAGGCCCATCGAGCTGCGTGAGACCAGCATGACGGGGGATTCTTGGGGCCTGGCGGCCACTGCTTAATACTTTTTAGGTTTATTGTGATGTTACATGCATTGAACATACAACTGTAAACTGAGGTCACGTATTTTCATAGCCAGTTTGGGCTTCCTTTCACCCTTGCCTTCATCCCAGCTTTTTCAAAGGACAGTTTGTTGTTGTTTTTAATAACCCTTTTAAGTATAAACACTGTATATATCCTACATGATCCTCAGCTCCAACATCCACGTCAGGGTTGTTCTGACAGGACCCGTGTCATTAATCTCCTGTATTAGCTACCAGTCTGGTATGACACGTAGCGCTTGCTTTTTTTATGTCCATTAGCGCTCGTACTTCACCACATTTAAGAAGCACCGGAAAAGAGAACACAGGAAGGGTCTTGCTGCCACCACCCTGTCACAACCATTGTTTTTATTTTAGAGCATTTCTTTCTGGACATTGTTTTTTCAAATGCTCACTTGTGGTTATTGAGATGTGCGTGTTGCCACCCAGCCTTTCAGACTGTTTTATCCTTGAAGGATAATATATGTTGGATTTTTTGTCAGGCATGTACCCTCTGATTAGAGAGGGAGGCAGGGGCGGAGGGCTGACAGCCTGCATCCACCCGTGTCTGCTGCAGAGAGAGTGGCTGGGATGTGGCAAGGAGCTGGGGCAGCCGGAAGGCTCTGGAACACACCTGGAGTGACTCAGAGCCGCCCTTCTCCCTTAAAAGGCAGGAGATGAGTCAGCCTGACCGCGTGGGTCAGGGCTGGGGTGGAGGTATCGTCTGGGCAGGCCCACAGGCCCTGTTGTATAAGCTGTGCTCACGGAGGGCCCACATTTCATCCTCTCAGACTGATTTTAGCCTCGTGGGCGCCTTTTTCTCTCCAGAGCACACAGCGGGTGGGCAGCGAGGACAGGCAGGCCGGCAGTGCGGTGGAGGAAGCCACGGAGTGAATGCTGGGCTGGGGGC